GCTTACAACTTTCTTCATTCCCTCGGCATTAAGAGTCGGAGCTTAAAGGAAGGGATATCGTAGTTCTTGTCTCGGGAAGACAATGCTTTGTGTTTCAAAGTTTATTGACCTCAAGTACGCCGTTCTAGTACATACCCATCAGATCTCAGTTCCTACCACCCCAACGTATCACCCTAATGTTAGCTAATTAGAGGTCACCAAAAATCATAAAGCTTTTGCTAATAAATTTTTTAGATTATTCCAATCAGGTCTTACCGAAAAATGTAAAATAGCGACACCGTGGGCTCCACCAAAATTAATTAATTTATTTTTTTAAATCGCGTTCCAAAAGTTCTTGCGCCTCCGTGGTGTACGGCAAACCATTTTTGTTTGCTTGTAAAGTGCTACGGTCTAATGTACACATACATACGTATGTGTGTAATTTTGGTATGATTTTGATTAATTTTTTTTTTTTTTTTCAAAATGTCGTGAGCTGCTGCTGCTGCTGGTTCTCTTATTGCGGTCTCGCTGGTTTGTGGCATTTATTGCTGCAACACTGCTTTTGTGGTTTAATAACGCTAATGTCATTTCAATTAAATTGGCAAAGAATGATTAAACGTTTAAATGATTGAGTGAGTGTACGAGCGATGGGGAGGAGGAATAGGTAATTGACTAAGCGAATGGCTAACTGTTGTACAGTGGCAGCTGGCTGACTGACTGACTAACTGGCAGACAAATGGCGATTTTGATGTAAATCTGCTAAGCGCAGTTTGTGTGTTTGGCCGACTATTTGGTGTGTCATGTTTTCAAAACTGACAGACTGGCTGCCTCACTGGTTTACTGTCCGCGTGACAGCGTTTCCATTTGCTTGCTGGTGTTGATGATCGCCTCCGCATTGGATTACTCGTGCCCACACACAACCATACATCTAAATCCTTTTCTACTAAATGCAAAATAAAATAAAAAATACAAAAATTAATGGCATTGCAAATCGGCAGCTGCAGCTGCAGTTTAATTTAAACTTTTTCACACCAGCCATTAAGAATGCAAAGAACCTCTTTGTTAGGCAGCAGCATTTTTGTTGTAAATATATAACATACATATTTATTTTATTTTGATGATTTTTTTTTTGTTAACCATTTTCAATTTAATTAAAATATCACCGTTTTGCGATTGAATTGAATTTTGAAATTAATAAATTACGCGTTGAGTGCCAGACCAGTACATTATTCAAATAATCGTGGTATGTAAGTTTATGAAAATAGATATGAGGCAGAAAAAAAGCTTATTGAAAACTAGTAGAAGAACAAACGAGGCCCCGCTGATAATTCCAATGTAACAATTTTTGGGATGGTTGTATGGGTCATGGCTTGACAGTGTCTACAAGGCCAGCATCAGCCTGGCCTACATTCCAAAAAGCTGGAAAAAAGTCAAAGTTGTTTTCGTTCCCAAAGCGGCAAGCAGAACGAACGAAAAGGCAAGAAACTCGTAAGTTTAACATCCTTCAAGCTAACTGGCAAGACTATTGTACTTGCTTATTTTAAGTGCAGGCTACAATAAGTTATGTACATATATCTGATGTACATATACCCGCATCTGGCCAGTCAAGGAAATGAGTAGTAATCTTTCTTTGGACTATGCCAAGGGGCCAACCCAGTACCACCGCTTGGGATTTATCCAAACCGGCTTCTGCCTTCGCCAGCTCACATGACTTCTCATTGCCTTCTATGGTCCTATGTCCGGGAACCCAGACAAGAGAGACGGTAGTTGACTGAGACAATAAGCTCAGTAGCACTTTGCATTACCTCACTAGCTTGGATTTGGAAACCGGTGAAGCTATTGCCAATAGCGCCGCCTAGCCGTCAGAATATATTGTTGCGTTACTCTTGTGCCTGACTCTATTGTTAAGTCATACTCAAAATAGAAATATTTTTATGTGCGCATACCAAAAATAAAAAAAAGGGTTTTTTTTAAGGAATAAAAAATATGGATTACCGCTAAGTGAATACTACGTACTTACATAATAAGCCTACTTGTTTTGATTGATTTATAGTTAAAACATTTACCTGTTTGGCCTCGTATGCGTATGAAATATTTTTTTTTTTACTAGGCAAACAATAAATATTTTAAGTGCGAATAGCCTTGTTGATAAGGGTTTGAATAGTTGTAAAATGCCATTTGCATTCATATTGTTGATTTGTAAAACAATTGAAATTTAATTTAATTTTGATATGCTTGAGTGCATACTTCATACATACATATGTACATATGTATGCTGATGCTGAGCTAGAAAAAAATGGTTTTATAAAAAAAAGCTTTAAAACTAAATTTAATTTAAATTGTATAACTCATGCATCGATGTGTTTGCGCACAAATGTACATATACATAATTGTACATATGTATCACATTTATGGCTCTATGTAATACTACAAGTACACGTATTTTAACCGTTATGCAAGCAACAAGTTCAACAATATTAAGTTTGTGTAGAACTAGCTTGCATAATTGAGGTTTGTACGCTTTAAACAATGATCTGGGAGCGGTGAAGGACAGGTTATAGCAGCATTGCAGTTCCTTTGTCGGTCGTAAAAGATATGGCTTTGACATTCCTAGAATTCCGAAATTGGATTTCATGCAACTACGAGTAATAAGTCCCACATTTGCATACTTATAATGACATGAATGCATATATGTAGGTACAATGTATGCATATGTATTCTCTTCTGCGAGGCTGCTGCTTACATACCATATACATATGTATGTATGTATATGGGGCAATTCACGTAAAATGTCCCAAGTCCAAAAGTTGTTAAAAATTGTTTGTATTGTAGATTAATATCTAAGGAAGTTTTTATAAATATTTCACATTCAAACATCAAGCAGCTTCAAAGTTATAACATACACCGCGCACGGTTTAGCGCACTTTAAAGCGCTTCATAACTTGTAAAAATAAAAAAGTCCCTTTTTGTATTAATGATTTTTGTGTAAAAATAACTGATCTTTCGATTAAGATGACTAAAAATAAATAAAAATTACTATAATTAAGAAAAATTACTAATAAATTTTCATTTAAAATTTTCTCCGCACAAAAATCTATAGAACGCATAGTTTTTGATTTTTTTCCAAAATTTTCTGTCTGCTTCCCAGCTAGTCGAAAAGTAGCTTGTTTAGCACCGCTCAGCGCGCTTGGGACATTTGACGTGAATTGACCTATATGTACATATGTATGGTATATATGCTTATACCTGTAGGTACTTACAGTATCTACATATGTAGCGGTACTTTTACGCAAGAATCTCAGAAAGTTGTTCAACAAGTGTATTTTTGTCAAGCAACAATTATGCAACAGAACATATAGTAAGTAATAAGTAGCTCGTATTTTCTTAAAGTACCACAAACAAATTATGTAGTAACCACAAAACAATTCACCATAGTTCTAACATACATATGTATGTATTTATGTATGTATATGATATAAAAGAATAACAACTAAGAAATTAAAAGAAAAAACTAAAAACAATGCTAAATTTATTTTTTTTTACTCATGGAGTTGTCTCGTTTTGTACTTTTGTTTTCCTTCGTTTTTGTTTCTTCATTCACAAGTACATATGTATTTACTCCAAGACGGAACGACAAAGCATTTCTCCCGCGTTCCGAAAACTGTTGACGTTTATGATGAATACTTTTATTTTATAGTAACATTCTTTTTTTTTTCTTCTTCAGCTGTGGCTATTGGCTTGTGCCTTGTGGAAGACATCAAAACAGAAACAGAAGTAAATGAAATAGAAAAATTTAAAATGTTTGTGGTGGCCAGTGGTGGCCTGCAGCCATAGCTATTCGCTCAAAGACCTCAAAATTTCCATGAATTTATATGGAAAAATGTAATTTTCCATGAAAATGGTATAGAAATCTTGAAAATCAATATTTTTCTATCGGAAAACTTTGTTTCTCTTCAGTAGACTTTTAGTAATAAAAACCAATCTTTTATTTGACCATTTTTTAATGTCCGCGATTTTTATGGGCCCCCTTTGCTTTTTTTTTTTTTGTGTTTTTAGGGGACACTTACAGGCACTTTTGAAGCAGGTTCTGACTCCTCTTCAGACCTTTATTGTAAAAAGCAGAATCCTTCGAACTTAGCCTGTCCATCCACTCCCCACAGTCTTTCGAACACACAAAAGTCTTTCCTTAAGACAATTGTCAGTTTTGGCAACTAACTTTAATGCTCTTTATTGTCTCTCGAAAGCGTAATTCTGTTTGTCTTTTAACAATAAGTTTTCTAAAAATTAAAGTAAATAAAAAATATATTTTTCTTTATAAAGCAATAACAATTAAAAATTTACATTAAAAAAGGGGAAAAAATTAAATAAAAAATAAATAAGTAAAAAAATAAGTTTCTAAAAACTAAATAAAATTAAAAGATATATTTTTCTTTTTACAGCAAAATCAAAAAATTAAAAGAAAATTAAATAAATTAATTTCTTATTAACTAAAAAAAGAAAAAATTAAATAAGTTCCTAATTATTAAACGAAATTATAAACATTTTTTTTTCTAAAACAATAAAATCAAAAAATTTTAAGAAAATAAAAGAATAGAATAAAAATAGAAATTAGATACACAAGTTTCTAAAAATTAACTTAAATAAAAAAATTATTATACAACCTATAAAGTGCAGCGCTAGCAGCAGAGGCATTCCGCAGAATATATTAAATTTAAAAATATTTTTCTTCTTACATAACTCAATAAAAACGAAAAATTTAAAGAAAACGAAACTAACGGGATCGGACTAAAGGGACAAGTATTTTAAGTTGAGTGGGCTTAAGGGGCGCGTGAAATAGTCAATTATGTGTTATATCCAATTTACTTAGCTGTGATTCTACAGAAAATTACGTACACCAAATCTAGCATTAAATTAATGTTAATGTAATTTTATTCTTTTCAAACACAAAACAGCGTTTAATTAACTTTTAAAACGAATACTAATTGTAAACACATTTTTTTTCATCCTTTATTTGCAGATGAGGCAACTTTGAAGAAAACAACAGCAGCGAATAACAAAAAAAAAACTGCCACACACAGTAACATTCACACATTTGCAACATTGGCAACGCTGCAGCAACATTCGCTCCATTTAAATGTGCCACAACAGCGACGAAGTGAAACTTTAGCGACAACGCAATTCAAAACGCCTCGCACGATCCCATGTCATGATTACAAGAATATCAGCGACAAGAGTATCGTCGTCACAAACGCCCACATGTAACAGATCTAAGTCAAGAGCAACAATGCAACAACACATGAAAATAACAAACTTAGCGACCACATCAATACCAGCCGGTCAACCGATCGCAGTGCGACATGCAACAACCAATCGCACAGCAACAACAATGCGTCGTTGTAGTCTTGCCGCTTTGCAAGTTTTGGTACTTGCCTGCACGCTGCCGCCACCACTTCAACCGCTACTGCCGACACTCCTGCTAACGCCCACGCGATGGTCATTCGCCGTCGAAGCGTTGCCGATAACGTCGAAGCCCATCGAGGGCACTGCTGAAAATCTTGCCTGGCAGGCGTGGCTCATGTTACCGCCCGAACAGAAGCAGCTGGAGAAATCGCGCAAAGTCACGCCGAAATCGATATTTTCGCTGCCGTTCCGCGACTGCCCGCCCGGGCATCAGCTATTTCAGTCGCGCTGCATACCAACCGTGAACATCAATCAAAGCGATTTGCTGACGCAGCAAGTGTTGGGCTTGTTTGTTGGTAGTACAACTGGTGGAGCAGGTAGCGACAATGCCTATGAATTTGATTATGAGGACGAGGAGTATGGATTGGGGTTCGGCGAAGGCGAACCGGTGGTGATGTATGAGTCCCCACAGTCTTTCAGCGGCAACTCAGCTGCTGGGTCTGGGAACGCACCTGCGCGCGATGAGCCGCTGAAATTCAATCTGTTCGAGCAAAAGTATCCAACCAGCGATTATGAAACGGATGCAAGTAGCAGTACGTTGGAAGGTAGTGGCGGCGCGCGGCCGTTGAGTGAACCGCTGACCACGCATATGACGTCGGAGGGCGAGCGCGTTGGAGTGAGTGCCAATGATAGTGATGCTGGCGCAACCTTCTTCAATTCATCACAGTTCTTAGATGCAGTGCAGGGCTTTTTTCAGAGGCATACAACAGCGAGTGACGAGAGCACTGCAAATACAACAATGCCCAATGCTACAACTATAGAGCAGAGTATTCGTATTGCCAACGCGACCGAACGCAACACCGACCGCCAAGAACTGAGCGATTTGCATGTGGCTAGCAGCAACATATCGACATTTGCCGTCGGCGATATCGATGCGATTATATTGCCAGCCTTGGGCTCAGGCATGTCAACAACAACAACAGTCACGAGTGCTGGCGACAGTGGCGATGGTGGTGGTAGTGCCGGTGCAACTGGTGGCAACCTTGAACCGCAGCGCATATCACTCTTCAAGGACGATAACACTGTACAGCTGGTAACAACGGTAATTGCGCAGTCAAAGGGCTATAAGCGCGGAGGAGGTGAAGACGCGGCAAGCGGAGATGTTGGAGATCTAGTTACGGCCGCACAGCAGCAACATAACAGCGTTGCACAATACTTACGCGCCGATGCGCTGTTACCCTTGAGCAGTGCTGCGCCATATATTACAACAACAGCAACTACATTTGAGGCAGATAACGCTGATCATGGTACAAAACCACCACCGTTGGCTGCGAAAGACGAGCGCCCACGCAGCGTGACGCAGCAGAATACGGCCGCAGCAGCAGTACCAGCAGACACGGATGCTCAAGAAACAAGTTTCATAACAACAACGGAGCCGGAGGGCACCACCAGTTTTCAAATCGACGAGACAACAGTTGTTGAGGCAAGTGATGAGTCTGCTACTGTTCCGGAGGCTATCCCCCTGCTAGAAGCAATTTCGAAGCAGCAGCAGTTGGAGTTTCAAAAATTGAAAGTAGAACCGGTTGAAGATGAGGCGCCAATAAAAACAACTTCACCCGAGACAGCAATCAACGAGCAAACAACAACAGCTGATGACGATAATACAACAATCGAAACCAAAACAATTGCCAACGAAAAGGTTGATACAACAACAGCGAAAGAAGTATTCGAAAAGAGCGAAAAGTCAGTAGAGGCCGCAACAGCTACAGAAACAACCACACAACCGTTAACCAGTGCAGTCGCATTGTCATCAACAATAATCGCAACAACAACAACGAAAATACACTTAACCACCACTCCAAGTTCGGACCGGTTTCGTAGCTCACCCGCCGCCGCTGTCGTCGCGCCTATCCGCATTGCTACGGACAAACAAGTATCCGACGTTGTCAAGTCAGCCACCGCTCCGACCACGGATCCGACTATTGGCGAGGAGACAGCGCCGTCAAGTATCGACGTCGTGAGTGATGTGCCGAGGAGTGGCAACAACGATCTAGTGAATGTCGCTGCCGCGAGCAGCATCAAGACCAGCGACACCACAAATGACAGCCGCAATAAGAATAAAAAACAATAAGAAGCCGCCAGAGCGCATTGCAGCGTCAGCGAAGGCAACGATGGCGGCGAGTGAAATAAATATTGAACAAGAATTGCGAATGATTAATGAATTGGTGAAGGGCAAGCGACAGTTGGCCGCGCTGAAAATGGCAGCTTTAAAGGCAACAACAATGACACAAGCAGCAACATCAACACAAAAAACCACTGCCAGCGAACCAAAGTTGGAGGTGAAAAAATCCGGCGCAAACGCGGCTGAGAATGAACAGAATGCGCGTGGCATGGCGGCGGTTGAGGTGCGGCACGATGTTGATGAAACAACAACAACAACTCAAGTGGCGACAATAACAGCTGAAACCACAACAGTGGTCAACTCGCCCCTGGTGGCGGCCAGTGGCAGCGAAAACGAGGTTCTACATACGACAGCAACAACAACAACTGATGGAACCAAAGCATCTACACAAAAAGAGGCGACGGCTAAAATGGAAAGTGGTAGCCAGCCAGCAGAAACCACAACAGTGGAAAACACTACAGCGGCGGAGGCACTTAGTAAGATCGTTGAGCTTGCGACCACAACAGCAACAGCAACAGCAGCAGCAAGTGCAGAGCCTGATTTTGAGGCCGAGGCCACGGCGCCAAGCGTAGAAGCAACTGGTGCGACACTTTGGTCGCGGATTATGCCTCTATTTGGCTTTGGCGTAACAGCGGTGGAAACCGGAGCTAAAGCTGGAGCCGCACCAACAGCAGCAGCAACAACAACAGCGGTGTCAGCGGCCGAGGAAATTGTTGGAGGCGCTGCAATTGGTAGTATTAGTAGTAGTAATCGATTTAGTGGCAGCAATGTTAGAAGTAGTATTAGTGGTAGCATAAGCGATATTAGTAGCATTGGTAAGAGTGTTAAGAACAACAATTTAATTAGCAACAACAACAAACATTTTGATGGTCCGATTCGTCGAAACAGTAAAATTATAAGAATTGATCAGCTTAGTGCTCATAGTGTGGGAGGGGCAGCAGCAGCAGCAACAACAAACACTCTAGAAGAAGAAGGAGAAACAGCGACGGCAACGGCAACAACAACGGCTATGGCAAATACAAAAACCGATAGCATTGCGATTGCGCCAGAGCAAGCGCCTGCGGAACAGTCTTCATATTGGTGGCTACCTGCTGGCTGGCGTTCCCAACGGGACACAAATGACGGCCAGCAGCCGTTACTGTTCCGACTTTGGTCCGCATTTCCCGAGAGTCAAATGAAAGCCAAAGTAAGAACATAAGTCCAATGCGTACTACCTCTATTGTCGATTCATATGAAAAAGTACAAACAGGGGGAAAACTGTGAAAAGAAGTTAGTGAGAAATTTTTGTAGTGAAATATTAAAGTTTTTTTTTTTTAAATTTCATTGTAGGGATGGAGAGGCCGGCATGAGATGGCATTGAAAGGAACGGGATTTTTCCTAAGAGCACTCGTACAAATTAAATAAACCAGTTAGAAAAAAAATAATAAACAAAAAAACGCAAAACATAAAACATAAAACGAAAAATAGAAAACAGAAAAACACAACAAAGAAATAAACGAAACACAAGCTAAGTAAATTATAAAGTAGAAACCAATGAAAAGTAAGCAGAAATCGCAAGAAAAATAGAAAATTTTTTAATAGTCAATGACATACTAATAACTTGTACTTGTGCCGCAATTTGTCGAGGAGATTAATGAAAGGCATCAGAAAGTTTGGACAGGGAAATGTGCGCCAAAGAATATTTTTAAATGGTACATGTATGTGTGTATTATATGGGATTCACGCAAACATAAGGTATAAGCGATATTTCGGTGAAAGCTCGAGAAAGCTTCCATATCAGGCAGCCTCGGAAAAGTCGTGCTTCAAGTATGTAGTAAAGCGATGCTAACTTGCGAAAACCGACTTCAATTCTCATATACAAATTTTAGATGATTCTTTATTTCTTCTTGATCCAATGATCGTGGTCCAAAGTTATGTGGTAA